GTTATTTTGTTTAGCAAATGAATTAAGCTGTATGTGTATAAAGCAATTGACATAGTTCTAGTCTAAACACTTATTATTCAACAGACTGATTTTCTCACAATACATTACTGATTTCTGCATAAACCGAAAATGCGTATTCCAGGAAATGCAAATGCAATAGATAAACATAGTTATCTATTAACAAACATTCAGGATAAACACAAGCAGCCCTTTTAATACTAGTGTTCTTTAATACAGAATTGATTTTCCTGGGAGTATCCAACAAGCATTAGGTGAAATAACAGGGTCAGTGGAGAAAGCAGGCCCTTTAAGTTGCTTTATAAAACTTCTACATTTTTGCTCATGATACATTTTAGAGAAGTAATTCTAGACACCGTCTTCATTTAACAACTAAATGCCATCTCTTCCGTGCCGCATGTTATTGCAATTTTCAGAGTACCATACACGTTATTTTTTCTGACATCAGCTACATGCAAGAAAAGTCTCAGTCATCTAAACAAGCAGAGTAAATCTCAAAAAGGAAATACTTATGTCTTCAGCTTGCTTACCTATTTTTCTTCAAAACTGCCAATGGTATAATTGCAGCAACTGCACCAAGAACTACTTTAAAAAAAAAAGAGGAGCAATTTAGTAACAAAGTTAAATACACATAACATTTTGCTAAAAGACAATTCTGAATCTCCACAGCTCTGGAACTTGCTCTTATCATCACTGACAGATTATCTGATCATAGGACACAATTTTTTTTCCTTATGCTGATAAATAAGCCCTTCTCATATACAGATCAAACATCACAAGAACTCTCTACCTTAATCCAGAAAGAGGTTCTGATGTTGGATCTCCTAATTTATCAAGTCTTTAATGCTTCTGTGTACAGCAGGGGTCGGCAACGTTTGGCACGTGGCTCGCCAGGGTAAGCACCCTAGCGGGCCGGGCCAGTTTATTTACCTGCTGACGCGGCAGGTTTGGCCGATCGCGGCTACCACTTGCTGCGGTTCACCGTCCCAGGCCAATGGGGGTGGCGGGAAGCGGCGCGGGCCGTGGGACGGCGAACCGCAGCAAGTGGGGGCCGCGATCGGCCGAACCTGCCGCGTCAGCAGGTAAATAAACTGGCCCGGCCCACTAGAGTGCTTACCCTGGCAAGCCACGTGCCAAAAGTTGCCGACCCCTGGTGTACAGCTTAAGGTTTGTCTAGATTCCTAGCTCATCCAGAGTAATGCTCAGACCAGAGATTGGTGGGGACTTGGGATAACAAATGCACAAGGTCAGGGCTAAGAGTTGTTGGTAATTTAGCCGGCTTTGCTATGTGGAGTGTAGCCAACACTAGATTAGTATTCTTATTAGGAACTTGTAAGAATACGCTGTTTGGTGTGCATTAGATAGTACAGCCTAATTTACATAAAATATATATATATATATTAGCAGATTCACAGGAGAGGAGGGGCTTAGCAAAAATGCGTGCTTCTTAGCAAGGGGCCCTAGTGAAACCGCAAGGGGTTTTGTGACAGGATGCGAAACAGGTTGATTTGAAATGCCAACGGCATTTACAGACAAAGTTGACAAAGGAACAGAGGGAAACTTTGAGGATTTTAAAGCAGATTTACTGGCTTTAATATTTACAAGACAAGCAACAGATTGTTCTGCAATTTTACAATTTATATAGGGGCCTTTTTGATTAATAGGAAATAAAGGATTTATGATGCAGGTATGTTTCTTTAGGTTGTTTTAGTAAGAGATATTTTGTGGGGTAAAAGCAGGCGCTTTAGGATTTGGGAAAGGAGGTGGAGGGTTTTGAGACAGTCGGTTTGGGCACGTATTTTTTTAGTGTTCCTTTTGGCCACAAAAGTGGCATGCAGTGTTTTTTGTCAGGGCAGGATACGAGGGACCTTTCCCTTTTTCTTGCTTGTGACCTTGTTTTTGTTTTTATTTTTATTTTTTTTATGGCTTTTGTTTTGATAAGTTTTTAACTGCAAGGCTAAAAATTTTGTTTTCGTTTTTTGGGGGTTTTTTTGCTTTATGCAGGCTGCATAATGATTGGCGACTGTTACCAATTCAGAAAGGGGTTTAGTTTGCTAGCCAATAAAGATCGTTTTTAACTGCTGCTGAACCTTTGGTAAGAGTCCCTGAACGAAAGCAGCCCCTACTGCTTTTTTGGCATTTTTAGCTGGCTGAGCAATTTTTGAATGTTGTCCCTGTGTGTGTAATTAAAAAATGGGTGGGGGACAGTCTAAGCATTCCCTCTCACCCCCTAAGGATACCCCAGCTTATTTCATGTACGTACATTATGGTCCTAAAACCTGCAGGTATTTAAATAATTGGAATCTTTACATGCATGCAAATCCATTGAAACAATGCCCACTAGAAGGTACCTTCGATTTAAATAAACTTACATATCTCAAAAAAATGCTCAGTATTCAATCTACTTCACATCCAAGATGTTCAAGCTTAATATCAACTTCTTCCCGTCAGTCCCCTGCAAGGTGTTGAAGTTCTCCACCAAAGAGTCATAGAATGTATTATGTTCAATCTCTAGTATGGCTTGCTTGATTTCTTCCCCAATTAGGGTGACCAGATGTCCCGATTTTATAGGGACAGTCCCGATTTTTGGGTCTTTTTCTTATATAGGTTCCAATTACCCCCCACCCCATGTCCCGATTTTTCACATTTGCTATCTGGTCACCCTATCCCCAATAGATATAATAAAGAAGCTACCAAATTCCCCAATATAATAAAGAAGGTACCAAATTCATTAGATTGTCTCTCTGTATTGAACCTTAAAATGAAAACTTCTACCAATCTGTCTACTTTGGGGTCACACTGAGCTAATTAAAACATATTTCAATTCTGCTATTGAGATTTGAGCACAGTTTCCCCGATCGGCACACACCAGGTCAGCTGCATCTTAGAGCCATGTGACAGGGATGTAGGTTACAGAATGGTTTGGGTTGGCATATTCTCAGAGGGAAATTACTGTCTCCATTGATCAGGCAAGTGCTAGAACCCTGCTTGTGACAGCTCCAAATGCACAGTGGTCTTATGATTTGCTCTTTGACAATGATACTCTATGACCAAACACCTATTGACTTCTGAGGGACTTAGGCATTTGCTGAAGTGCTTTGATGAACAGGTGCCTACCTAGGGAACAGTCTACTCCCCAAGGTTAAGCTACATCATCTGTGGGAATTCTGGGAGGGAAGGGGGAAATGTGTTCTGAATAGCTGAGCATGACAACTGAACAATCAAGATCTGTTATATGGAAAACACTGCAGGCTGACTAACTCTGGACGCCGAGAACTTTAGTAACAGCCTTCTAATTTCCTGTATAATATGAGACTATCAAATCTAACCTACAAAGCGATTTCTTGGCTCTTTTTATAACTTCCCTTCCTAGCTTTTGCCCTTTCCATTTTTGGTAAGCACCAGACATACATATGCAGTCCTAAGTGGTGAGGAAGTATTCTCACCCAAAACAGAGCTACACAATTGAACCTTTTCTTGATTTCCCTGGGGATAAAGAAATGAGATTCTTCCCTTCCCTTTTGTTCCCCAATATTGTGCAGACACATTTCAGATAGAATCACAGCAGACTGCCTAGCTCAGGCAAATATTGTGAAGAGAAAACAGCTAAGAGTAGGAATACAAGCTTCTCTCCAGAGAATGGCAGTGCTTTTACATGGCACTACAGCACGTTAGAAATGGCAGACAAGTTCAAGAATCCTAAATCCCAGGGTCTTTAGTAATTAAGTAGGGGGAAAACATTATGAGATAGAGAAAGGGCAATATTAAAATAGCCTTGACTCCAGATCTTAAAACCGTCATAGCTTTAGTGCATTGAATGATTTTTTCAGTTTTAAGTTACTTACCGATACCAATGCTGGTGCCAATGCCTATGTCAATGCGTATGCCAAGCCCTAAAGAGAGAAACAAAAAATGTGAGCTAAAATATGAAACCAAATTCATGTCAATAACCTACAGGAACTCATCCACAATCCATGCATATGAAGCTACACTTAGTACCCTAGATTATACCAGCTATTAATGAACAATTAAGGTAGTCACGTAAACACCACATTCTAAAATGGATAATCATTAGCTGTTGGAAACCATGATCTCACCCCTAGAGAACCTCATAATGAAGCAAAGCAGCTTTTCAAAGGATTGTACACATTTGTAACTTGTAATACCAACAGGAAAACCGTTGTGTAAATGGAGGACACAGTCTGGGATTAAAGGTTTTCTATAATATGAACCACTGGATGTTAAGGGTTCTCTTGCATATGCTTCTAAGCTCTCATTTACCAAGCCTGCACTGGCCAGTCATACGTTTGCCAAAATGCTAAGCAAAGCCAGAATCATTATACTCAACTTGTCTAGACCAGGTACCACAATTTTTGCCATAGCATATCATCATAGGTTAGTGTTATGTTATCTGGTATCACAGATATAAAGAGTGCTGTAATCTGCATTTCTAATTACCCAAATAGATTGTTTCAAGAGATAGACTTTTGCTGTTCTTACCAGAATAAGATCATTTATCATCTAACCACTGGCTGTGGAAGATACTGAATAGCTAATTAATTCCTTGTCACAGATTGTATAGAACTACAATCACTGATGTCAATGAGTTTTGCATTTAGAAATCAGACTCATGTTAAAGGAATGTTCAGACTAACATTTTAAGGGAAACACATGAAAGATTAAAATAGCACTCCTGACCTTCATTGTTACTGTGAAGTGGCTTTTCAATGGCTTCTGGAAATTTTGAACCCTATTTGCCCTCAAAAAATACAATGCTGACAAATGTATAGCCATTAATGTTAATAATGTTAATATGAAAAACGGACTGTACATATTCATTTATGCCCATATTGTTCAGCATTACTGTAGGTTTCATAGTGTTGGCAGAAATACGTAGTTTGGTCATTAAAGTTTGTGTTTGTTTGTGTGTGTGTGTGTTTTAAATTAATCCCAATGAAAAGCATTTGAAAAGCCAGCCAGGAAACTGGTTGTTGAGGGAAAAGGAGGTAGAACAACATCACCACATCCAAAACAAATCCAGTTGAGTTAGAAACAAATTTGTAGCTGTGGTCCCCCTAAAGTACTGACTAGAAGCGAGGGCTTTTTAGTTCGCTTTTGGCAGAAATTCAATGTGATTCCAATCTCATGCACATAACTCAGCCACATGGACCAGCACCATTCAGGGCTTCCTTAGTGTAATAGATTTGAAAAACAATTGAAAGGATATGGCCAGTTCCAGTTCTGAAGCTCCCTACAGCCAGGCTTCCCTGCTCACCACACACACTGCGCTACCCTGTCTAACAGCTCAAGTGTATCTCACCTTCCCCTTCAGACTCAGCAGAGTTGCCAGTTGTGTTCAGTGCAGAAGCTGTACAGAAAAGAAAGTTTTATAAAATACTTGAGGTGCTCTCTACACAACTGACTATTTTAAACAACAAAAAGCTGGCAGAGATTCCAGGCACGTAAAGACATCAACACCCACAAACAGACGGGCGTGAAATTTATCTTGCCAAGCACAGGACAAAACATATTGAATTTTAAAGATTCAAATCCACAACTGATCATATTCTCCCCCCAAGCCATTTGAAGAAAAGCCCCCAAGCATGCCAGGGAAAGCACTGTCAGGCAGAATAACTGCTAGAGACAACCCCCTCCTGGTGTTTTACCCACTTGATTTTCTCTAATATTTCTCTCTTTGGGATATACCGTCAAGTCTGCACAAAGCAGAAGATCCACACGCATTAGGTGCATTACCCCTATCGTCATTCCAAGAGCTAATTCTCTCAGCTGTAAATTATCTACTCCTGAATTCTGCTCCTTGGGATAACCCTATGGATTTGGAGACTAACTGTCTTTGGCCCAGGAAAATCTACACCTAAGAAAGAGAGTTTGTGCCACTGAAATGATCAGTGCTTGGATGCCGAAGAGCGATAGAAGATTTTCACACGCCGCCCCCTACTGCAGCCAATAGGTGTTGTTAGTTGTGTCACAATAGCGCGTGAGGGCTCAAGTCATGACTCGGGGACCCACTGTGCTAAGCGCTGTAGAACCACACAACAAAAAGGAGGTCCCTGCCCCCATCGCTCTCATTAGAGCTGCCATCAATCAGCCCAGACAATAATATTCCTTACCCACGGTATTGGCCATGTCACTCTCCTATTGAGAGGAATCAGAGGAATGGGCCAAGGTCAGAACGCTGTGGGAATCCTTGGGAAACTGGAAGCGGGAGAAGGACCTACCAAAAAGCTTTGATAACCAAAAGAAATGGTGTAGGAACAATGAGAGAGGTAGGGAAACCAGGAGAGCATGGAGTGTGCAAATGAACAACGAATTCTCTATCAAGTTTTTAGGCAAGCACTAAGTGAGCATCATCATATTTGCATCTGTGAATAGCAGAATTATAGAAATTAAAATCATCTTCACACTGTACATTTCATTTTTATTCAAGGGGAAATTTGAACCCAAAATTCTAGACTTTTAGCAAATCCAAGTTCTTCCAATTTACCTGAGGAAGTACCAGCTACTTCTGTTCCTTTGGGGGAGACAGTTGTGGGTTTGTCCTGGGTAATTATGACTAAGGCAAAAAGAAGAGGGAAAAGCAGTTATGAACATGACATCAGTCTCCCATCACCAGCTGGCCATTCAGAGCCAGGAGCTTGCCAAACTAATGTTTAGGAATCTGCATCTTTAGAGACATGACAGACTTATCCCACTTACACGTTGTCACAACGAGAGCCCATGTTCTATCGGTTGGGCTACCCTGCAGACTGCTGCTGGGATCCCATTCCTATATTCTAGAGGAAGTCCATAGCAACCCCTACATTGAGCTGCCTATCACTTCCCTTTACAAAAGTTCTCTCTCTTTTTTTTTTTTAAAGAGCTCTACAGTTCTGTGGTTTGCAGCAGGGATGTGAAAGGCTCAATGTGGTGCCTTTTGCTGCCACCATGAGTTACAGACTGCCCAAATCTGTCATTTCCCTTCAGTTTTACTCATCAGAACTTCCTCGAAGGACTTCTAAAACCCCTGAACATGCTGTTCTCACTGAGCATTCGCTGCAAGGTGTTGCCATGTGCAACTCAGAATTATGCATCTCCATCCCTCACATCAAAATATCCTTTGGACTAGGAGAAGGTGCACCGTGTTGGGAACCAGGAGATGATGAGTTCAACTCTCATTATTTCTACTGACTGGTGTTAACGATCCTGTGCCCTTCGAAACCCAAGTTATCACTCAGCAACCCATCCTCCCTGAATGAAAGTTACACTATCTAGGAAGAGAACCCAGATCTCTAATATGGCAGACTCAAGTCTCATCCACTTAGCCTAACCGAAAGAATTTGCCAAATCTAAATACTTGGTTACGTGGTGTGTACAGTGAGGCTATTCGTGCATATATAATCCATTGTCTTAGTGTGTTGTGCATCCTCCTCTAGTGGTTGGTCCATATAACAATTTACTCCTGCTGCCACCTATTATAATTAGTTCTTTGACTCGATAGAGCTCTATGCTGCAGTACAATCCCTTAGCCCGAGCCCTGGGAGCCCGAGTCAGCTGGCAGGGGCCAGCCATGAATTTTGAATTGCACTGTAGACATATTCTTAGATGTAAAAAGCATTGTAATCAGTATTTCAAATGATCCAAATAGACTGTTTCAAGAGACAGACTTTAGCTGTCCTTACTAGAGTAAGGCCATTTAGTAGCTTCCATAGCTGCTGATTAAACATTAAATGAGAGTCCAGCGGAGGGCAACAAAAATGATTAGGGGGGTGGGGCACATGACTTACGAGGAGAGGCTGAGGGAACTGAGGTTATTTAGTCTGCAGAAGAGAAGAGTGAGGGGGAATTTGATAGCAGCCTTCAACTACCTGAAGGGGGAAGGGGTTCCAAAGAGGATGGAGCTCGGCTGTTCTCAGTGGTGGCAGATGACAGAACAAACAGCAATGGTCTCAAGATGCAGTGGGGGAGGTCTTGGATATTAGGAAACATTATTTCACTAGGAGGTGGTGAAGCACTGGAATGGGTTCGGTGGTGGAATCTCCATCCTTAGAGGTTTTTAAGGCCCGGCTTGACAAACCCTTGGCTGGGATGATTTAGTTGGGGTTGGTCCTGCTTTGAGCAGGGGATTGGACTAGATGATCTCGAGGTCTCTTCCAACCCTGATATTCTATGATTCTATGAAAAGGGTAATTCCTTGCCACAGATTGAACAGAACTGCAATCACTGATGTCAATGAGTTTTGCATTTAGAAATCAGACTCCTGTAAAAGCAATGCTCAGACTAACATTTTTAGGGAAATTGTATGAAAGATTACAATAGTAGCAAAGAGTGCTCTGATGTGGCCTTTCAGTGGCTCCTGGAATTACTGAACCTATTTGCCCTTAGGAAATACATCATTGACAGATTTATAGTCTTTAATGTTAATGTACCCGTATTGTTCATCATAACTGTAGGTATAGGACTCAGGTTTACTGATGGCTTCACTGTTGGCAGAAACACACAGTTTGGGTTCTTTTTTGTTGTTGTTGTATAAATAAAGCTCAATGAAAAACATTTTAAAAACCAGGCAGGAAATGGGGTAATGGAGAAAAAAAAGTGTTAGGAGGAAAAACATTTAATAAAACTTTCTTTTCTGTACAGGTTCTGCACTGAACACAGCCGGCAACTCTACTGAGTCTGAAGTTGAAGGTGAGGTACTGAGGGGAGAGGAACATTTGAGCTGTTAGACCTGCTATCTTGGTGTTCATCTCTTGCTGTGCATGGCATCAGGACAGCATGCACAAAAATGATGAAAAGATGGTAACGTGTTTATGTGGCCATTCGGCTGCTGTGACAGTCATTCACATGCTCCATGAACAGCACTGAAACATGGATGATGATGATGATCCAGAGAGATGCTGAACGCCTGCACCTTCCATTGACTAGAAGGTCAGGCCTTGACTCAGTAAATTGGCTGTTACACTTCCACTCCTCCAAATCCAGATCTGAACCTCCTCCAGCTGCTCAAAGCTCTCCCAACTTCCCAATCTTCCTCCAAGCTGTGACGTTATTGACATAAACTGGGACCATATAGATCATGGTTGCAACCAAGGTGCTATAGTGGCACCCAAATCTTGTATAAAGGGGGTCAAATGGGGTGTCTAAGACAAGGTTATGGTTTACTGGTTATGATTATGCTGTCTATATGTGTGTATCAGTTTTGTAGTTAAAGTTATGAATATTGGCTCTATACTGTCTGTATGGCAAACTTATGCTATGCTTCTGGGTGACATCCCAGACAACATGGTGTTAGCTCTGCCTAGCCTGCTTGATGGCCCATTAAGGACCAGCAACTATTGAGAGAAGGCAAATATGCCTTCAGACTCAGCAAAGTATGCAGGGACTGGCCCATGTGACTCCAGACTCCATTTTGCTGTAATTTTCCACAGTAAGAACAAAGAGGTGTTCTTACACCTGGAAAAGACTATATAAGGCTGATGCCTCGTCTCCATTTGGTCTTAAATCCTACTTATTACCTCTGGAGAGACTTTGGTACAAACTGAAGCTCTGAACAAAAGGACTGAGGACCCATCCCAGCTGGGAATGTACTCCAGAGACTTGATTTGAACCTGCAGTTTATTCCATCCTGCTACAAGCCTGAACCAAGAACTTTGCCATTACTGTATGTAATTGATTCCATGTAACCAATTCTAACTCTCATCTCTATCTTTTTCCTTTTATGAATAAACCTTTAGATTTTAGATTCTAAAGGATTGGCAACAGCGTGATTTGTGGGTAAGATCTGATTTGTATATTGACCTGGGTCTGGGGCTTGGTCCTTTGGGATCAGGAGAACCTTTTTTCTTTTACTTGGGTATTGGTTTTCATAACCATTTGTCCCCATAACAAGTGGTACTGGTGGTGATACTGGGAAACTGAAGTGTCTAAGGAAATTGCTTGTGAGACTTGCAGTTAGCCAGTGGGGTGAGACCGAAGTCCTCTTAGTCTGGCTGGTTTGGTTTGCCTTAGAGGTGGAAAAACCCCAGCCTTGGGCTGTAACTGCCCTGTTTTAGCAATTTGTCCTGAATTGGCACTCTCAGTTGGGTCCCGCCAGAACCACTTTGTCACACAAGCTACCAAACCCTCCGAGTCCCCCAAACACCTCAGCCCCACCCCCACAACTGAACCTTCTCTGTAGATACACAGAGCCATCCTTATCCCCAGCTGCCCATCTCTTCCAAACTAGCGAAGGGGGAGGTTAGTTAGGGTGACACAAGGGGGTAGCACTAGGTCTGAGGGGTAATATAGTTTTTCTTAGTGGTTGGTTTTAGTCGTTGGAGGTCACCCATGGAATTAATACACATTTTCATTGCATGATGGTAAACTAGTCCCAGGGCTGCTCATGTATTTACACCCACAGTTCGGAAATGCCTTTGAGTGACTAAAATCCTCACAAGGCTTTTGGAAAATAATTGGATGCCTAAAACTCTTTTCAGGTGCTGAGCATTTTGAGACCTGATCCCCTGCGCCCCCGAACAGACACAGAGCTGCAGTTTGCACTTGCACCACTATCCTCCCTTAAGAGGCGCATAGGGGGATAGCATCTTTAATCTGTAGCAGGAGCTTCATACAACCCCCAGTAACAAAGGCTGCTATGAGATGCACTGAATCTCAGGGTCCCAGCCTGTAGGGGACTGGTGCATACTCAGGCTGGCCTAGCAGTCACAGCTGGGCTGAGGATTGCCCACCAGGGACAGGAGACACCAGGGCAGAGCTGGAAGAATGACAGTTCTCCACCATTTATACTGACCTGGTTCGCAAACTGGTACGGCAGGATCCCATGTGCCATCATATTTGCAGTGAATCTGAGCATTTCCATTGATACGGCCTTTGATATCATACCCAAAATCACATTGAATTGTAACTCTGTCCCCAAACGCATAGGTCTCCTCTCCAGGTCTAGGCATCGGTGTCTGTGTTCCGTTGTTAACATCTGGAGCTGGACAACGAACTTCTGAGAGACACCAACAGCAGCAACAGCATTAAATCACAGCAAAGGCAATTGTGTGGCTGCAGATTCATTTTACCAGATGGAGCTGAAAGCTTTGCAAGCTATAGAAAATTGGCATTTCCTTGACATTGCTTGTCAAGGCTGTATCCCCACTTTGAACTTTAGGGTACAAATGTGGGGGCCTGCATGAAAACTTCTAAGCTTAACTACCAGCTTAGCCCTGGTCCGCTGCCACCATTTCCAATGGATTCCCCCCTGGGAAGCCTTGAAAAAACCTTCACCAATTCCCTGGTGAATACAGATCCAACCCCCTTGGATCTAAAACAAGGAGAAATTAACCATTCCCCTCCTTCCTCCCACCAACTCCTGGTGAATCAAGATCCAAACCCCTTGGATCTTAAACAAGGAAAAATCAATCAGGTTCTTAAAAAGAAGGCTTTTAATTAAAGAAAAAGGTAAAAATCATCTCTGTAAAATCAGTATGGAAATTAACCTTACAGAGTAATCAAACTTAAAGAGCTCAGAGGACTCCCCTCTAGTCTTAGGTTCAAAGTACACCAAACAAAGTTCCCCTCTATGGAAATGTA